GAATGATGCGTTCTCGTTTAACACGTAAAAATTTATTAAATGGTTATCGCTTTTTATTAAAATGTGACGGTTGTCCACCAATTTATTCTAATAATCAAAATCTTATTGAATTAATTAAACTGGACCTTCCCTTAACAAATGGATTTAATTGTTTTCTTATAACCAAAAAAACAAATTTCCTTCTCAAGTTAGGAATCAAATATGATCTAATTTGAAAAATTTGATATTAGTCTATACATTACTAATTCTTTCATTATCAAAACTTTATTCTAACGTTTGAACACAAAAAAACAGTTAAATATTCACATACGCATACTATTAAGACTAAGTAGAAAAATTTGTCTATATTTTCTCTATCAATCCTTTGTCTTCCATTTCTTTTCGTTTTATTTTTCCGTTTAAAGTTGCTTGTTTAAATAATTTGAGATAAAATTCTATAGTTTGTGGTGTATCATCATTTGATGGTATTGGATAAGTGACAATATTTGGATTACAGTCTGTGTCACATAAAGCAATTGTTGGTATTAACATTTTATTTGAATCACTCACAGCTGGATGTAAATAATTTAATGGATGTAATGTATGTAAAAATATACATAAATCGGGCAAACGAATATCATAGCCAAATAAACGTTGAATATCAGTGAAATGTCCTTCCCAATTGCGACAATGAGCATACTCAGAACATTCTTGTGCATATTTTTCAACTAACGGTATATGTTGAGGATAACGAGTTAGAAATAATATGATACCTTTACGATATGCAATATGAGCGAGAAAATTGAGAGCATTCTGTAACATTGGTAATGTTTTATCTAAATCAATAATATCCGTATTCAAACGATGACCGTAGATATAATCGTTCATCCATGGATTACGCATACCAGTCACATGACCATAATGAGCACGATTTCTAAAATTATATAGAAAATATGAAATAAAAATGTTGACTTATAAAAACAAAAATTATTGTACTTGAATAAATCTTCTAATGTTACTAAATTTCTAACATTAAAAAAATCTGGATGATCAAGTGGATTTATTGATTTTTCGCCAATATTCGATTTTTCGATTTGAGAAATTTCTAAACATACCAACAATTATTAGTGTTCATAATGATTAACCATTTGATTCATCTTACCATTTGACACTGTCCGATGTTCATGTTGCCGTTGAGCTTGTGTATTAGCCACTCCTCTGTTAAATGTTCGATGACATGTTGAATTTGCGGTTTTTTGTAACAAATTCTTAAAAATAATATTCATCTGAAAAAATCAGAAACACATTTTTAGCTTTTTATATTCAATTCAATCGGTTAGAGCACAGCTTTTAAATATGGAGAAAATCATTCACTATAATAGGCTTCTTACAGCCGATAGAAAACTGGTCAACTAAATGTAGAAGAATTTCTCTTCTAAAATAGAGCGCTGCCGTATGGACATTATCAGGTTATCGTTGCGTCTTATCTAAACGAAAGAATGTAGAATAACACTAAATGTTCTCACCGCAAAGGTATGACCTCATTGTTTTTTATTAAGTGAGTGTACTCAAAAACTGATAAAGTCAATCAATGAACTGTCCCAAAATAAGAAATAAGAATTTACGGCAATTCTTTTATCACTTTTCTATGCGTTATCTCAAAAAAAAGAATCATTTCTTGCGTTAAAACGCGTTTGTGTCATGTACGGTCGTGCAATGCTGTCAGAGCGCATAATGATGCGTTAGATGCAGTTATTCTTAGTGGCGGAGTCACCAACAGGTCTAGACTGGGCTGGGCCTCACCTAGACAGTTTTTTAAAAAAACTTCCATAAAAAAACATTTTGGCACTACTTCAGATCGAACTTCAGAAAAGTGATGGACTAAGCCATGTCTAGCACGAAATCCTGGTTCCGCTGCTAGTTATTCTTACAGATTTATACGTTCAAAATAGAATGACACACAAAATTACGCAGAAAATTTCACTTATGTATTGAAATGTTACATCATACTATTTTTGATAGGTAGATATCACTCAATTTCATATGAAACATTAGCGATACAACATGTTCACCCGTATAATCAAATTCACGCAAAAATAACCGACTACTATATAAAAACAACCTGCTGGTTCTAATAGATACTCAGTTATCATTCTTCTAAAGAAAATTCACAACTCTCTAGCAGACAATAGATTTTTTTATTCTATACATAATAAGACATTCCCCCATTCGGTCAGCGCGTGTCGATGAATTTTCAAATTCGTTACTCTTTTTACTGTGTTGAACATCAGACTCTAAATTTTCATTTTAATCCTTTCTAAATGATGGCACCGTCATAATAAATGAAAATCAATAAAAATAATAATAGAACGAGATAATTCCAATATTTTTACACGAATGAAACGAAATATACCAAAACAAATTGATCTAATATCTACTGTATACGTTAAATTATCAGTTTTTAAATATAATTCTTCTAAGTTTGAATTAATAAATCATTTAAGATGTACGTTTTCATTAATAAATTGAAAATTATAATATGCGATTCAACGTTTGCTTTATGCATATTCAAAAATGAAATCGAGCTACACTGACCACATGTCGACCACAAATTGATCAATGTCTTTTGAATTGAGATAATTTAAGAACTTTTTCTTACCTTCTTCTTCTACATTCTTCATACTCGGTACAAACTATGAGTACCAACAAATAATTGAATTTTAATTTTTTTTTTCTATTGTTTCATAAAATAATCTATCACCATTTACCATATCTATTGTATTATTTCATTATTATTCCCTAATTAATTCATTAATTTAAAATTTTTTACTTGATCATAATTTTGTACTTTAATATAAATGAAATTTAAAACTTTTTAACTTTGATTTAATAGAGAAAACTTAATGATCTTTCCATAACAAATAATAGTACACACTCTACTGGATCAAAACAAAAAAGTTTTGAAGAGAAAACAATTGGCTTTTTCTTTTCTTTTTTGTAAGAAAATTTGTTATTAGTGTTTAATCCAGAAGAGTATCCGATGATAATTATCCTCAAATTCCATGTTAATATTTTCATTTCCATTCGTATAATTATTAAACCAATCAATTATAATTTCATGTTGAATATGTTCTAACGTTCTTATTGATAAAAAACATAACACATTGTAATTTTACTCAATAATTGTTCGATCATTTTGCACATAAATAATTCAAAAGTTATATCAATATATTCTAAATTTGAAAATATGTTTAATAATTGTTCAAACAGACTATTTGTCTCATTAGTATTACGTCAACATTCTAATTTTTTTATTTTTTTTTTATTTAATATTGAAACACTTTGTACATGATGTGTTATTGATAATAGACTATGATCATAACCAAATTCAAGTGACGAAATATTGGATGTTCGATTTAATATTTCTAAAAATGTTTGACAATTAACATTATCATAAATATCTGAATGTTTTAATTTTGATAGATCAATTAAATCTGATAAAAATACATTATAATTTTTCGTATATAATGTTAAATATTCAATATTTGAATATTTTCGATGAATTAAATTAATATCATCAAATATGATTAATTTATTAATCTTATCATAGGCTTTTGTCATTAATAATGAATTATTTGTTGTTGAAATTGTTTTTAATGTACTTGGTGTAGTATAATAGATAGAATTTGAATAGGGTATAGTATAGAGACATAATTCAAATTCATTATTAGAAGAATAATCACAAATAATGAACCATTGATGTTTAAACCAATAATTTGTAGAAAATTTTGAATATATTTCATTAATATCAATAGTCAATGGTACTTCTAATATTTCAATTCTTAAATAAAATATTTTTAAATATAATAATGATGATAAAACATTTTCCCATTTTAGACCATCTATATAGTCAATATCACAACCTACAAATGAAAATTGTTGAATTTTTGAAAATTTTTTTAAAAAAGATTGAATAAATGTAAATGAAATATTTCGTGATATTAAATTTAATTTTAAATTTATTAAATAAAGTACCATTGATGATGATATGGAAAAAAAATTTAAATTTGTACTATTACTAAATTGTTCCACTGTGACATCGAGATATTGAATCATTGGAATATAATTGAATAATAATAATAAGTGACTCATAGACAATGATTGTAATGTTAAATGAACAATATTTCTAAACATTTTTATAAATGTAAAATTTATTAGACTACGTAGTTTTAATGCACAAATTCTTAATGATTCTATTTCATTTGATAATAATTAATTTCCATCAATATCATGTACTAATGAACTTATACTTAGATTTGATAATTGTTTTAATTTAAATAATTATGGATAAATAATTTCAAATTCATTTGATTTAATTTCTATTAATTTTAATAAACGAAGATGAACAAAATTATCAATATGAAATTTTGATAAAAATAATTTAATTTAACCCGGTGTATCTCTATTCAATAATTGTAATATGAACAGATTATGATAAATATTAGGTAAAATGAGTGTACAATAATCGTTAAATAAACTCTTTTTAATATTTATCATATTCACGTACATTCGAACATTGTTAATTATTTGATTAAATCGAAAATTAAGATTTTTAAATGAATAATAAATGTCATACGCATTTATATAATCAAATAGTTCAAAAATTAATTCATCTGATAATTGATCTAAACAAGTCGTCATTCTGGAAATGAGAGAAAAAGAGAAACGAAAATAATGTTTAAAATAGTCTCATGCAATAGTCAACATAGAATTTTGATGACTGTTTTATAATCCATTAAAATTTCTAGTCTCATCAACAAACATAATATCTCCAAAGGAAGTAGAAGATTAAAAAGTTAAAACTTTAGATGATATTGATGTTTTTCGATAATAATGACGACTAAAAAGTTTCAAGTTTGATATGCTTTTAACAAAAAAATCTCCAAGGTTTGTAAAATGAACGAATTTCAACGGTAGAATTATTTAATGGTGCCCTTCTCTACCAGAAAAAACTTTCATTTTTAAGTTAAACGTGGTACATTGTTAAATGAAGTGTTCTCTACAAAGTAAGATCGCTCTTAGCTCTTGATGATCTTCCGTTGTGGAGGTAGGAATCTCTTCACTTTTGTTAGTTCATACTGAAAAATCTCTATCTTTTCACCATCTTTTTCAAATAGTTAGTCTTGTAGAATAAATATTTTTTTCTACAACGTGAAATGTCTCTCAACTCTTTGCTATAGTTTCGGTGCTCTGATTTTGCTCGATATTTTAGAAAAAATAAAATAAATTCTTCGGAAAAGTAAAGCTCTTGATTTTACAAACCTTGTGACTCTAGAAAAAAAAAATATTTGGAAGTTTGAGATATCGCCCAAGCTAGCTGTGGTAAAAGTTTGGGATTAATCGGGTGGAATTGTATGGATGTCATAACGTACTCAAATTAGATCATACTGTATGTTGAATCAGGGATGTTCTATTACAAAACGTCACTTTTTCTAGAATATTCAGCAAAATAAGAGCATACCACTGTCCGAAAACACAGTAAAGAGTGGAGAGACATTTCACGTTTTAGAAAAAAATTTTTACTCTACAAGACTAACTATTTGAAAAAAAATTTCTATAGTGAAAAGACAGAGCTTTTTCAGTGTAAACTCATAAAATTGAAGAGATTTCTACCTCCACAACAGAAGATCGTGGAGAGCTAAGAACGATCTTAATTTGTAGAGGACACTTCATTTAACAATGTACCATGTTTAACTTGAAAACGAAAGTTTTTTCTGCAAAGAAAAGGGCATCCGGAAGTTAACAGATAAAAGCATAATCATTTTTGAAATATGTTTTGATCTTTCTCACTAGCACAGGCTTTCCGATCAGGGGGAGAGGCAGGAGGCCTAAAAACATTTTTGGACTTTCCGGCAAACTCTTTGACATTTTTCCACACGCAACGTTCTGCCAAAAAGTTAGAAAAATTTTTCGTCAGCCACTTTCCGCGAACAAAATTTTTTTATCCCTTCCCATCCCTGAGAACAATCGGAAACTTTGCCCTAGCGAATCAAATCACTCCCCCATCTCTTGAAAGACTAATCACTAGCGTTTTCTCATTGATAACAGACGCGGTGGAGTACCAATGTTAATCTATTTTTCAGTCATTTCTGCTCTCTAATGCTTTTCTAGTAGATATTGCTAAAAGACGTGAACATTCACGAACACCCCCAAATTAAAATCTGACCTAGCTGATCGATAGAGCTCATCGAGCTGAGTATAGCAATCCCTAACGAACACCCAAAAAACTTTTTATAGTTTCGCTTTTTAAGCATACATTTTGAATGAACACCCACGAACATCCACGAACATCTACGAACACAAAGAAGAAACGGTAAGAACACCCCAAAACGTGAGCCAAATTTATTATTCTGGGCTGAGGGTAAGGTGTGGGGGTGAGGGTCAGGTGGTGGTAGGCTCACCCACACTACACCCTCAGCCCAGAA